CCATGTGTGCTCCACCCAGCAGGCTGCAGCATCACCGAGTGTGGCAAGCAGACCAGTTTTTAACCCTCTTCTGCCTCTCCCATGTCTTCCCCCTCTCCCCTCCAGCTCATCATTGGAAACTTTGGCCTTAGCTATGAACAGTCACGCTCCCAAATGGCCTTGTGGACAGTGATGGCAGCTCCGCTCCTCATGTCTGTGGACCTCCGCACCATCTCCCCGAGCGCCAAGGAGATCCTGCAGAACCGCCTGATGATCAAGATCAACCAGGACCCCCTGGGGATCCAGGGGCGCAGGATTGTCAAGGTTAGGGGGAAGGTGGATGTGTTTGGGAGAGCAGACAGGAGCAGCATGGGGCATCACAATAAGGAAGGAGAGGGAAGTGATGCAGAGAAACGTGAGTGGGAGAGCTGTGGGAGCTGGGGATCTGCTGGTGTCCCACCAGGGTGGTCCCTGGTGACAGGGCAAGGTCAGAAGTTACTGGCCAGCACTGGTCCTGGCAGCTCTACCTCACCCACCCATCCCCACCCCTAGGAGAAATCCCTCATTGAGGTGTTCCTGCGCCCACTGTCCCAGGCCGCCAGTGCCCTTGTCTTCTTCAGCCGGAGGACAGATATGCCCTTCCACTACACCACCAGCCTGGCCAAGCTCCACTTCCCCAAGGACGCCGTGTACGAGGTGAGCCGCACTGGGATGCTGCATGGCAGGGCAGCCGCATGGCACCTGGCCCCTTTTTCCAGCTCCCCACTTCGACAGCCTATGCATTTGGGGGAGGGGGAAGGACTCCCACTCCCTGCCTCCAGGATGAAGGGGCAGCCACCTGTTGGGTCACTCTCCTGTTGCCTGCTGCTGCACCCTGTCCCGCCACGCCAGTGACTGTGGCTGGACCTCAAGATGAAAGGTCTGTAGAAATCCTGGTAGCCACCGTCTCTCTCTTCCAGGTACAAGATGTGTACAGTGGGAAGATCATCAGTATCTTAAAGACAGAAGACAGTTTCTCAGTCATTATTAACCCCTCGGGGGTGGTGATGTGGTATGTCTCTCCCATGGTGCTCCCGGCGCAGCCCTGGCACGTTGTCAGACAACAAGCCCCTGGTGAGGGTTTCCACCCGGTCCTCCTGTGACAGTGCTTGGCAGATGGGGGTGTGGGTCAGTGCTGGGGCGAGCTGCGAGACCCTGGGGCACGTGGCTCTTTGCTGCACAAGTGCCTTTCACTGGCATACCCAGCAGCGCTGGGAGTGACTGTTCACCTGGTACAGCTTGATGATGTCTACTCGGTCTGCGTAAAGCAGAAATTCTTGTTACCCACTTCCTAAGGGTGTGCAGAGCGTAATTCCTCGGTGATTACGAAGCCCTTTGAGATCCTGTGGAAGATGCCATACAAGCAGAGTCCAGCCACTGTTGGAATTCTTCATCTCTGACGCTTGAGCACTTCACTGCTTCGAGCTGGGTACCAGTTACCACTGCGGGGGCTCTTTGACCTATACCTGTAGAAAGGCTTCGGATGCTTTAGTATCTTTTAGGATAGCGACCCTCACCATGTGTGATGGCATTAGCCTCAAGGATCAGACCTGATCACCTTCTTTCCTTTGCTATAATCAGCTTGGCTTAGAATAAGGGGCTGTCAGTAGGGCTGCACTCTTCCCAGGTACCTTCCCCGGGACCCAGAGCTGCTGGAGGCATGGTGGTCCTGTGGAGAGAGGCTTGGCTTGCATGCCTGATCCTGCTGCCAGGATCCTGGAGGCCAACACTACTCCAGCCTTGCACGCACGCTAGCATTGTGTCAAAGCCCCTCTGGTATCAGTTTACAGCAAGAGCAGAGCAAAAACCTCCTTTGGCTACGCACAACCCCAGCAGCCTTGCTGTGGTACGGCACCAAAAAACTGCAGAGCTGTATCTTGATTTGCATGAGTCATGTTGGGCAGATGCTGACGACCTCAGTTGAGGTCGTCTTTTGAGTTGGGAGATGGTCACAGGTGCCTCCAAGCTGCAAGTTACATCCTGTTCTTGCTCTAGCAGGAAATTCTTGCTATAAAGGAGCTCAGGCCCTCCTCCAGCAGGCTGAATGCTCAGGGTTTCTCAGGGAAAGACTCCTCCTTCTCCCAAGGGCAGCTACATCCACAGCTCCGTCCTGAGGAGGAGCCTGCACTAATAAACTAGGAAGTGAGTGGCAAAACACTCACACTAAAGCCCTCAAGTGCTTCACCTCCATGCAGCGCACATCCTACGGAGGAGTTTTGGGTGAGATGTGGCCTACCCTGACTGCCCCAGAGAGAGGTGCAGCGTTCATGAAGAGTAATGCTTAAGATTGCAGCCCAGGGAGACTGACACAAGATTAAGCCTCAGACTGCGGAAATATCACATTTTAGATTAGGCAAAAAAAAAGTTTCCCCTTTTCTAGTCAGATGCTGGAGGGTTCCTGCTCATCCGCCCACTCTGGTTCCTGCAGGACCAAATGGCTGATTCTGGCTGCTCCCAGAAACTTTCTCTGAGTGCAGCAGGAAGATACTGAACATGATGCAGTGCTTGCAGTGCTAACAAGAAAGGATGAGTGCACTTCAGGTCTGTACAGGAGCTGGCTTTGTTCTTAGGGAGTGATTGAGACAAATTAATTGAAATAAAGGGGAAGCAGGTCACAGGCTCTCAGTTTCATGTTTATTCAGTGTTGCTAGCTATAGCTACTTGGTTAATGTAGGATTACAGGGTCATTACCTCAAAACAGAAACAACTCTACTAAAAAATAAAACTGGTTTCCTGTCAGAGACTGGACTGATGCAGACTAGGAAATGGCTTTCTAGTAGTTCATCGTGTATTGAAATAAAGGGGAAGCAGGTCACAGGCTCTCAGTTTCATGTTTATTCAGTGTTGCTAGCTATAGCTACTTGGTTAATGTAGGATTACAGGGTCATTACCTCAAAACAGAAACAACTCTACTAAAAAATAAAACTGGTTTCCTGTCAGAGACTGGACTGATGCAGACTAGGAAATGGCTTTCTAGTAGTTCATCGTGTTCAGCAGACAGATGTTACAGTCCGCAGTTCCATTTTCCTTTACCATCTATTTATTTTTCCCTCACTGGAAAAAAACTGGCTAGCAAGGAGCTCCTCTTAGAGGGGGGCCTTCCCTCTGGCAATAAACGTACATAGGAGAGGTGCTACGAATACATTGTGAGTAGCAGGGTGGTGACGCAGCCCCTGCTAAATGCAGTGGTGTGCCTGCCCTGAGGACACAAACACGTGCCAGTTCTGGCTATATGGGCAAGAGCAAAGGCACAAACCAGCCTTCACCCTCCCCAGGCAGCAAGAGGATGAGCCCCACCTTCTTCTCTCCCCCCAATTACTTGATTCCAGACCCAGCTTAGCCATGCACCAGCGAGAGAGGACTGGCCCACAGGCGACCCAAGAGAACACCACCAGTGGTTATCGTTTGTTCCAGCCTTCTGTGCGGTAGGCAAGAATGAAGGTCAGCACAACACACACCAGTGAACAGGCAGCTAAAGGTATCAACACTCCTGTATTAAAGTGCAATTCAAAAAGTTACAAACATTCATGGTTGATTTTTTTTTTTAATACAGAGTTATTAGAATATCTCTAACTCAGACTTAAAAGGTGTTTATAGATGAGGAAATTTACTTCCCTCCCATGCAGGGCCGCTTTAGGAATTCACACTTGCAAGTTGTGCAAGCCTGACTTGCAGGAGAGCCCTGGCACACAAGGAAGTAAGAGGGAAAACACTCCTTCCCCTTCACTGTGAAGGCAGGAAGGCTGTAGGAAGAACTATAATCACCCCACACGCAAAGGATCACAAGGGCTTCCACCAGACTAGAGAGACTGTCTTCAGAGCAGGTTTAAGGGCACTATGTCCTAAGGAAGAGGGAAAGGCAGTGGCTGAGCAGCCAGTCTCTGCAAGAGAGCTGAGCGTTAGTAACATCCATGCCAGACTGTGGTTCCCAGCTGGGAGAGGGCACTGCACCCCAACCCAACTCCAGTATCACAGCACCTGCCCTCCCACGCTGCTCAGATGCCCTGGCTGCAGCGGTCCAAGGAAGAGATGAAGGCTGGTCTTCCCCTGTGGAGCTAGCATGCAGCACAAGCTTGCTCGGCAGAAGGAGCCAGGGCTGCGGGACCTGTCTGCTGACAAGGCTACTGCCAGGTCCACTTCCTAATGGAACACATTTTGCTCCAAGGCAAGCAGCCTCCTGTGCAGTACTTGACTCCATTATGTTTGAAAAATGGCTGCTTGACACAGGATCATTGCACAGCTATGAGACCTGCTTCTAGGAGAGCGAAAGAAGACCGATCTGCACGCCTGCCAGTATCAGCTCACTGCCCTGCAGCACACCTTTGTTTGCTTTTCTATTTCATGTCTACAAAGGCAGGCTGATGGGGGCCCTCCCCTTCCCTCTTGCAATGCTTCAATGTCTCTTAGGATGCGCTTCCCCAAGTTCGTCACACCATGACTGTTAGTCCAGGACATGAAACGCATACTTCCAGCACGATACAGGATTTCCAGAGTCCCATCTCACGCTGAGCTGTGCCAGAATTTAAGGAAATTTAACACCTTTCTGGGGCACTCAAGTGTCTATAAAAGGAACCTTATGGGTCTCTAAACCTTTCCCATTGGATGGTGCTTCAGAAGTCAAAAGTTTGGTATTCCAAGTAGTTTTACTCCAAGATCCTGGAGCCTTCATATTTCAGTCCTAGATTAATGACGTGGTCTACTGGTGGTTTAAGAAGAAGTCCATCTCTCTCCTCAAGCCAACGGCAGAGCAAAAGTTGAGTGCTTCGACCCCAGGAGATAAAGCAAATAAGCAGGAAAGTGCTGTTGTTCCACCTTGTATTGCCACTGACTTAATGTTTAAGGAGGGCAGGTGCTCAGCTGCCCAGCACTACATATATTGTATATATAGAAAGAGACTAGAGATATGCTAACCCGAGGGGTAGTAACAGCCAAGTTGCCTTCAGGGAGAGAGAGTGTGGGAGGCTGGTTGCAACTTCCTTCTGTTAGTTGTTCTTCTTATCCTCAGGAGGTGCATAAGGAGGTGGCTGATCCTGGAAGGAGATACAACAGAGTCAACAAACCTGCTTGTTTTATCATGAGCTTTTCCCAGACGTTCCCATGCTTTGCTTACAAGAAATGACTGCTCTTCAGTGAGCTACAGACAGAGCCAGGTGCTGTGTTTTAAGCTGTCATTTCATCACACCATCCTCTCTAGTATCAGTTATACTCCAGGATATATGCTGCCTCCCGTAATGTTTCTAGTGAAGGTCCCCTCAAAACCAGGTAAATCTATTGCAAATAGACCATTTAATCTATTTTAATCTCCACCCTCCCTTCACTTCCAGGGCATTGTCTCTGTTGATGTACATAGCTGTGACCCAGCAGACAGCGAGCCCCTGGGCTGAGGGCCAGCTTTGCCGCTCCATCGGTCTCCAGCCCACCACAGAGCCATGCGAGGCAGTGAAGGGCACAAGCAGTCTGACTGTCGCATACCAGATGTAGGCTACAGCCTACCTACCGGCTGCCACTGACCGAACAGTGAGAGACCACCCTGTCTTCATGCAGCCCAGAAAAAAAATGAAAGAGAAACCCACATGCTCTCATCCTTAAGTGACCTGCTTTTCCTTAACTCTCCCCACTTTCAGGCCCAACAGAAGCAGAGCACTCTGCGTGTTCTCTATGCCTGCACAAATTTGTTACACCTTTAAGAGTAAGACAAGTACTGAATGGCTGTTACTGGATGAATCTTTTCCTTTCCTGATTCAGGATTTAATAAGCCTTCTTCATGGGACCAACATCTGTGCCTCCCTCTGAGGTGAGGAAAATGTGTATTTTCTGTGCGTGTTCAATATGGAGGCACACTAGACTTTGCTAGGAAAGCAAACCACTGTCTCTACTAGTGACAGAGAGGGAGCAGGCACACACAGACCACAGGTGCAGTACTCACCATGGGCATGTACACATTGTGTGGGTTGGCAGGGTTGTAATATGCACTGGAAGCTGCTTCCATTGCCTTATTGCCCCCTAGAAAGGGAGGAAAAGAAGCCATCTTACATGTCTTAGGCAGTGGCCCAAGCCCCAAGGCTTCTCCCCAGACACAGCTATTTTGAGGAGGCAACAAAGGTCCAAAGAGCCAACAGCAACTGCAGCTGGGTTTCAATTCAGAGCAGTTCAGGAAAGCTGGAGGCTGGCTAGAGCTGACCACAGGCTGTGCAGTGCAGGGCTGAGCAGCTCCCCACACACTGTTATCTCAAATAATAGATCAAGATGACTTTGAGCTCCTGCAACAACAGCAGCTTCCCCACCCCAGACCACGCTCGCAACACCACCTAAAGCCCAAGCCCCCAAACACCCTTTTGCACCCACGCCCTGGCAGTCCCTCAGTCCCATTTACCTGGCATCCCCGGACCCATCCAGGCCGGGGGAGCTGAGGGTCCTGCAGGAGATGGCCCGGAGTAGGGGGGAGGTGGTGGCACATACACAGGGTTCATGTTTGGAAGAGGTGGGTAAATACCTGAAAAAGATGACACCGGATTGATGCTTTGGACTGTGGCAATGGGACAGAGGGGAAGAGCTCACAGGACCAGCAGCACATTAGCTCTGGACAAGAGCAGCAGTGAGGGAAGCTCTGCAGGCTTGGCAGGGATGCAGGCAGAAGGGATTTGACATTTTGCTAATGCCTGTCATGCCAACAGGCAACAATTCTCTGCCAAGCAGCAGCACGATTTACAAACCACATTTTCACCTCCCAGCCAGCCGCAACTAGAGACACACAGGTACGATCAACAGCACACGACAGATTTTTGGCAAGGACAAGGATCCTTGATGGAGACAAAACTACAGTAACCCTCACCGTACCATTGTAATTTCTTTACAACTAACACCAAACACACCCTGCCAGTCATCATTACACAACTTCCAAACCTGGAGTCTGGGCGTATGGATATCCCATGGGCTGTGGAGCAGGTCCATAGGCATTCACTGGAGGTGGTATATAAGGATACGGTCCGTTTGGCGGTGGAGGAGCAGCGTAGCCCCCTGGCACAGGTGAATAACCCCCAGGAGCAGGCGGGGTGGGTGCATACCCTCCAGGAACAGGTGTATAGCCATAGCCAGGGTTCTGGAGAGGAATGCCACTGGAAGCTAAGGAACACATATTTAGTAAGCCAGACAGCCATACAGAATAAAAGGAAAATAGTCCTGTTCATGTGGCACCATTTCCCCTAAATTCACTACACAGTCCTGGCATAGTACTGTGCTTGAAAAGCACTGGTCTCCTTGCTGCAAGTTCACATGGTGCTGAAGGAAACCAGCTACAAAAACACTTGCTATCAGGTACCAGTTCCATCACAGAGCTCCCACTGCTGGAAGAAAAGACCATTCTAAAGCAAGGGTCAGTAGGGTGTTTTTTCCTTCTTTTTAAACTTTCTTATTAGAAAAAAAAAAATGTTCATTTTTAAATTTACATGTCTTTAAAAAGAAAACTTTCTTATCAGAAAAAAAAATTGCTTTTTTTCCCCCACTTGAAAGTTTTAATTAGAAGTTATTTTTTAAAATTTATTTTTCCCCCCTTTCCAAATGCACATGTTAACTTCCCCCATCTTACTCCATTACTATAGAATTGAGCTGAGGATAGGTAAGTGAATCAATTTTTCACCATCACATATTTCAACTTTATTCCAGGAGCAGTAAGGTTCTATAGAGAAAGGTAGTCCACCTCAGAAGCACAAACCCCAGAATATTCTGACTGCACAAAGCACTAAGATGAAATAAGGAAAAAGGACTGGAAGGGAAAACAAAAGTTCCCCTGGAAAGAGAAGGAATACATTGCTGTGGAAGAGTGCATAGGGTACCCTTCTTCCCACGAAGTTCCAAAAAAGCACTAGTCTCTAACTAGCTCAGCCAACCACGGGGGAACTGCAGGCTCTGAAGATCCCTTACCGTTAGAGGCAGCTTTAAACATGAGCTGTCCAAACTCAATGGCTCCTCCACTGTTGAAAGTCAGTTTAAATGTCCCCTGCCCTTCCCAGCCACCTAGGAGAGAGAGAATTAGAATTGAAACAGACTATTAACCTCCTCAGTAGTAGTCAAGACAGCAAAACAGTTAATACTCCAATTATTTTTTTTCTTATTTCAAAACTATTTTGCGTTCTACTGCCAGTGGGAAAAAATCATGGCGTTGCTGTCAGATATTCTCAAGAAGACCAGGAATTTATTTCTTTATCCTTTAAAAGGCGGTCCGCACTATAGTTACATAGAAGCAGCGTACTCTAGATACCAGGTTGCTTTGTTCTTTCCTGTCATGGTTTAACCTGGCCGGCAGCTAAAACAACCACACAGCCAGTTGCTCATTCCACCCCCCTCCAGTGGGATGGGGGAGAGAATCGAAAAGCAAAAAAAAGGTAAAACTTGTGGGTTGAGATAAAGACAGTTTAATGGGACAGAAAAGGAAGATAATAACAATAATAAACGAATAAACAAAACAAGTGATGAACAGCACTATTTCTCACCACTCGAAGCCGATGCTCAGTGGCAACCTGAGCAGCCCTGCCTCCCAGCCCACCCGCCAGTTATATATGGAGCATGACATCATATGGTATGGAATATCCCTTTGGCCAGTTTGGCTCAGCTGTCCTGGCTGTGTCCCCTCCCAGCTTCTTGGGTGCCCCCCACCTTCTCATTGGCAGGGCAGTATGAGAAGCTGAAAAGTCCTTGACTGCTTGGCAACAACTAAAAACATCAGTGTGTTATCAGTGTTCTTCTCATCCTAAATCCAAAACACAGCACTACAATAGCTGATAGGAAGAAAATTATCCCTGCCGAAACCAGGAAATGTCCTGAAAGGTTTAATAGAAACTAATAATGAACACGGTATAAAGAACGAACACTTAATTCACTGAGGATTTTAATTGTAAGCCTTCAAATAAAGTGTTATTGCTGACTTCAGTGGACTACAGATCAGGATCTGCAACTCAAGCTAGCATTTAAATCAAATGCAACATGTGTAATCTCTTTGACCCACAGAAGCTCAGACAGATTATCAATGCTTAGGTATAATAGCAATTTTTCAGAAAAAATTCAAGTAGGCGATGATATTGCAAGATAAGTACTTTGTTTTGTAGGGGCTTTTTTGGTGGGGTTTTTTTGGGTGGTGCTTTGGTTTTTTGGTGGTTTTAGAAAAAAAAGATGTTGTCTAAATAAAAAAATTTCATAAAATAACATCCTTCTTGCCTAACAATGAAGTTAGTACAAGCAGAGATAGTCTTTTGGAGACAAAGTAGAAATAAAGTATAGAAATGTAACAAAATCCACTATGGATAAAGTCATGCCCTTGGAGATTCATCCCTTTAAAACCACTGTCTTAGTATGATTTCAGCCCGAGAAGGTGTGCTGACCCACAATTCCCAGAGGACTCAGTCACTTTAAAACTCTGTTACAAACAGAAAGCAAAAGCAGCTCTCCAGATGCCATCAAAATGCACATAAACTCATTCCAGGGCTGAAGAGGGAAGAAATTGAAACCAGAAGCCTTGTTTTTAATCCCTGTTTATCTTCTGCAATTCCCCACATTTTGTCATGACCGTGACTGTTAATCTTACCATAGTTTCATCATCAAATTGGGAACAAAGCTAAATCAACGATATACAACAGCATCCTAGATGCACACAAATGTTCCCAAGTTGGTAAGTGGCTACTGACCTCCAGAAAACAAGCGCGGTTGCTAATTCTGTCAGTACCAATTACTGGTGACTTGGTCACTTACCCACCCTTCCAGGTCACAGGCAGGAGAAAACAAGCACATGCAGAAAACAAGTAAACATAATGTACACAACCAGACAGAAATTACAGGATTAAACAAAAGTCATCCTGTGAAAGTCAGTTATTAGCTTTGGGGGCAGAAAGTAACACTGAAGCAGCGCCTTAAAGTTCAGAAGACCCAAGTTCCCTCGGCGTGGACATGCTAGCTATACTGCCACAGCTACTCTGTCCCGTGCACGTAAGCCATCTATCTGATGTTCAGCAGAAAAGGAGTTGTGACGCTTGGGAAGAGTTCAGTCTACAAAGCATGGGCACATACCTCCTGCCTCAGCCTGAATCTGTCCTTTGATGTAATTGGCAGAGAAAACAGGCTGCTCAATTGAGCATCCTTTCACCAAATAAAATGGCATCATGAAAGACAGCATAGGATCCTTGCCCTTTGACACAAAGATCATCTGCAAGAAAGGAGGGAACACCTCTGTATTACGTGAATTAGATACAAAGGGTGGTCATGGAGTTCTAGCAGCATTCAAAAAGAGTTAACTCCTAGTATCAGTATGCATTGTCTTATTCCATAGCTTTAAAACTGCGGGATCCCAAACAGATTTGGTGGCACATGGCTCACTTGCCTGAAGCATGTATATTGCAAAATAATATACCACTTAAAACACACATGCACATTTACAGAGTTTTATTGTTCTGCTTTTTAAGGATAAGCTATGACAGTTTTCAAAGAAAGTAATATTGACTGACACGTTGTAAGAAATACATTCTTTAGACAGTGATTTCCAGGACTGCACGTGCCTTTGTAGGGAATTGGGATTGTGACACAGGCATGAACTATCCTATTTCCACCTTCCCTTCTGCTATCTGATACTCTCAGTGCTTCCTCTCATAACCAAAAAATCACTACTTCTATCACCAACCAGGTTTCTGATCTACAGTCTACAAGATCCCTTGAGAAAGAAGCAACCCTGGTGGCATCAGACTTACCCTGTACGGGGTGAGATACAGCATCCCCTTCTTGGTGCCTTTGAAGGCTTCAGGCTTGCCCGTCACGTCACTGAAGGAGAGCTCCACATCTTTACACTGTTTGAGAACACTACAGGAGGAAGTCAGACAAATTGGAGAGACAAACTCAGCAACAGCTCTGACACACACCCCCATCGCACATGGAGAGGGAGAGCACACCAGAAACTCTGAACAGACTCAGTTCTGATGTGGGGCGTGTTGTTTTTCCTTTGAACAGAGAGATTTTTTTGCAGAACGGAAGAATTCATCCTCTCACCTGTGACAAGCCCTGCTCCCCCTCCAAAAAGGGGAGCTTTAAATGACAGTTTCTCTTTCTGTCTCCAAACCCACCAGGCTGAGGAATTCCTCTCTCTGCATGAGAAGAGCCTCGGCCCAAAGGTCAGGGCACAGAAAGGCTTGAGGTGTGTGAACCCCCCCCTAGAAGCCAAGGTAGCACCACAGAGCAAGCCTCTCTCTCCAAGTTCATGCTCAAATTCAGGACTGGCCACCATAGGGGAAAACAGCACTGCTGTAACACCGCACCCACTGTGCAAACTGAGGAAGTTGCTTCACTAATACCCTCACTGCTGACCCTACTTCACATGATTTAAGTAAATATTTGTAATAAACAGCACCATGCTACGGAACAAAACAAGGAACCAGTAATGTCAGCAAGAAGGTTATTATTTTTGGTTATCTATGGGAACATTAGCAAAGCTTGCTAATGACACAAAGCCAGATGAGAACTGTGAACGCTGCAGGGTCAGGGCTATGGAGGTGCCTGAAAAATTAAATATATTTTCAGGAAAAATGGAAGCATCAACTCGGGAAAGTATGTCACTGAATCTACAGGGTAAATCCTAAACATACCACCTAGTAAGAAAATTTGCAGAATAAAGAAAAGAGCCTTAGGGGTGACAAGCTTGCAGCATATTGCAGTGGCAGAAGAATCTAAGGAGTTTTATGGTTCCAGAGCATGGAAAAAGAAAACACAAAACCCTATCGCAACACAAGTCTGAAGAGGCCAGATCTAAAGTAATCCTTAAGTATTCTGATCAGCATACTGTAGAAGTCACATCAAGTCAGGAGTCAGGAAATTGCAAAATTATTGCGGGAAGAGAGGAATCAGCAGGGCCACCGTATGGGAAAACAACCAAAAGCCCTGTAGTTTCAGATCATGTGTTCTTTAGGGAAGAGGAAAAACGTAATAATATAGATGTATCTGAAAAATGCAGGTACCCAAGGAGGAAGACATTAAAAAGTCTAGCTTTAATAAGAAAAAAACCCCAACCACCTGACCAACAAATTCTACCGGGACATTATTTCACAGTTGAGCTAGATGCAGATTCTGAGACTGGCTGGAAGGGATAGACTGATGAGGCAACAGAGCTCTTTCATTTCCAAGATGCAAAGGGGAAACGTTTATTCTCAGCTAAATGAAACCAACTCCTTGACAGCTGGATCATACCAGAACACTTCCTCAACCACGTCCTCTAGCAGCGTTCACGTCAGTTTGCCTCATTGGGAAGAATTTCTACAGTCACTGTAATGTTTACTCCTTTCCAGCCACTCACACACGCAAATAACATGCGGCCACCACCACTGGGTGTAATTAGGCTGCTGAACTGGTTTGCATCTGCATGCCCATCCAGGGCTGTCACGGGAGGGCCGTGCATCCCACGGAGCCATGCCGCACCCACCTGTGACGAAGCAGCACCTCGAAGAATGGCTTGAGGTCAAGGATAGAGAGATCTCCTTTAAACCAGCAAAAGCTCTACATGTCAAAAGACTTCCCCGGAGCATATTTTTGGAGCGTATTTTTCCTATTGTTTACCAGCCCCGAACCAACTCAACGATCCTGTACTGGGCCTCTGGTTTCTAGGATTTCTCCAGCCAAGGCCAGGATGTTGGGAGCACCCAAACACAACCAAAGCGAAGCCCAAGCCTGTCAACCTGGTCTGTCAATGCCCACTCGGGGCGAGGGCAGGCATCAAGTAGCTGGTTGCGCCCCCACAGAAAGGGGCGCTCCCCCCGCGCCAGGGGGGGCGGAAAAACACGACAAGTTTTTCTTACTTTGAATTCAAGCGATTAAGACTCCTCCTTAAGTGGCCTCTGCCTCTCTGACATCACCAATTGCATGACATAAAAAGAAGCCAATTCCTTGTCTGTCCCGGGCCATGGGAGCTCACTCCTCGCCCAGGACACCCGCTGGAGCGGCACTA